GCAAATCTGTTAGGCACTTAAAAAAGAAAAAATATATATAATTGTCCTAAAATGGAATTATTCAAAAATGTATTCTCATTAATACATCTAAAATGTGATTTTTTTTTCCAGTATTGCAACTCCCGTTATCAACATGCTAAGTTTATTTATGACGTTATTGTCAAATTTTACATTCACTGCTGAAGCTTTGTTCAAAAAGAAAGGCACAGTTGCCTATTCAAGCAGACTTCACAGGCAATATCCTGTTTAATGTGATYATTCAGGTGTATTTGTTTGATTTGAACATTTCATTGCAGGAACAAAAACACACTAACGTCTAATTTAGGGAGACTTTATATAATGTAAAAATTTGAGCATCTCTTACCAAAAAGTCCAAACTTGGTTTGGTATTTTAATGCTACAGCACATTTTTCCTCGTTTCTGGTTGACCTGGTTTTCAAGCCAGCCAGAAAGACAGAGGCCCCATTTCAGTTTGCCTCACTGAGTTATTTGAAAAGGGGCCGACCTCGTTCATTTCTGTCTAAACTGTCCAGTATTAACGAGAAGAAAATATCAAGCATGCTTTAGAGCCGCACTTTCGCTGAAACATTTGGCCATTTTATGTCTTTATGAGGACGTTTAATCTTCAAACACTTCAAGCTCTAATGAACTAGTGTTTTTCAAGAGCCAAAATAATAATAATAATAATATATGTCTTTATGAGGACGTTTAATCTTCAAACACTTCAAGCTCTAATGAACTAGTGTTTTTCAAGAGCCAAAATAATAATAATAATAATAATAAAAAACAGCCTGTTGTTCTCTCACAGGGACCTTAACTTAAATTCAATATTTCCCATGAAATGAATGTAAACAAAACCTCGGTGGCATTTGGATGCTAAGGGCGAGGGATTTTTTTTCTTGACAATGGGCATAAAGTACTGGTACAAAAATTAAACATTAATGAGCCATAAGTCAAACCCATGAAGCATTAAACTATGTCGAGAAGTTTAACATGGGAAAGATGGCATCCCTGCTATATTTAGCACATTTACTGCGCTGAGCTACCTGCAGTAACATCAAACTGTCACTGAAAGTGAAGACAGGTACACGCTGTAAGTTGATAGTGAAGCGGGGAGCAGACAAGGCTCACAAATATAAATTGTGACATGAGGCTATCACATTATATAATAGCTTTCAATAACTATTATATAATATGAACTCTATTAGTGATAAATACTTCATTTGAGTTCATTTTTATTTATTGTTCTTAAATTTATAACCTCAAATGTATGCTGTTTGATTTAAAGCCTCTTTTTAACCTTCTGCAAACAGTGTTATTCTTTTGTTTGATCACTGTTTTATTGTTCCTTTTTTTGGGCTGTTTGCTACCTGCAGTCAATAATTTTAACCGATGACACCCCCGACCTTTATGTGAACTCTTTGCTCACAAAATGACATCCTCTTTTTGACCATTTAAACCTCATCACGGCCTAACATTAAGAACACTGTTCTGAAATCAGAGTAGGTCTTTGCTAATTGCTGTCCATGAGGGATTTGGCTGATCTGACACATATTCCCACAGAAAAGCCTGCAACCCATTCATTAATAATAAATCTTCACTTCATCAGTAGTTTCACGTCCATTCCATCAAATATTTAGGAGTCTGTATGTGGCTACAGTGGATGACAGACAAGTTAAAACACAGTTCATTAAGCACTGAGGTGTAATACCATCAAATAAATTGAAATACAGACAAATTTTTGAAACTGAAAGGGGCATCACTAGTATCCAGTTTCTGCTGCAATGGCTGAGCTGATAACTCAGTGTTGACACCTAAACACAAGAACAATTTGTTAAATCTTAGCAGTACAACGGAACAATAAAAATGTGACGGAAGTTTCAACAAACTTATCCAACGCGTCACTCGACCAGCTGGGGTACTGTTTGTTCTGACTTGATGGCTTTAGATAGACATCAGCGGTCATGCAAAACCGTGCTTTCCGTGTCAGGCACAAGTTGCGTGGCCTCCCCTGAAACAGAACCCCGGTAGTGAAGCTGTGGTGCTGGCACGCCTGTGCTCATATTACAAACCTGAAGCGACAGTGCAACACACACAGAGGTAACCCTCAGGTCGTGGTCTGTCAGGAAGAGCAAGATTTAGTATGGACTGCTAAGAAGGACCAATGGATGTGGATGGTTTAGAATTGGGTGCCATTTTAAGAACTATTTTCAAAGTTTATAGAGTTGTTTCCTACGGAGCCCGTGAGGGGATATGGGGGGATTTTTTTCTTTTGCGTTCCCACGCAATACCTTTGCATTCCCTCGCAATACTTTTGCATGACCTCGCAATACCTTTGCGTTACCTCGCAATACCTTTGCGTTACCTCGCCATACCTTTGCGTTACCTCGCCATACCTTTGCGTTACCTCGCAATACCTTTGCGTTACCTCGCCATACCTTTGCGTTACCTCGCCATACCTTTGCGTTACCTCGCAATACCTTTGCGTTACCTCGCCATACCTTTGCGTTCCCTCGCAATACTTTTGCGTTCCCTCGCAATACTTTTGCGTTCCCTCGCAATACTTTTGCGTTCCCTCGCAACATTGTTTTGCGTCTCCACGAAAAAGTTTCATTTGTATATGAACTGAATTAAATCAGCCTTTTATATCTGGTTACCAAAACAGGATGTGTCGCCACAAGTTTGTGAAATTGACATTGATGTTGCGTGGCTGCGCTGTCATATGACATACTTCCATGTGTGGTTGTGTGATATATTCATTCTGAAGCTGAATTAAAGCAGTAAGCTAACTCGCTAATGGTAAACATGTGAGTTTGTTAATAAACCGACAGGCACAACAGTGATAAACTACTTTTGCGAGGGAACGCAAAAGGTATTGCAATGTAACGCAATACTTTTGCGTGGGAACGTAAAAAGAAAAAAATCCCCCATGTCCTCTCGCGGGCTCAGTAGTTTCCCATAAAGGTATTGAAGAATTTCACGTTTAGATATTATTGAGGTTCTGATAACAACTCACTGATGGTAAGTTAGTGCTGAAAACATCACATTGTTACTCATGCWTGAGTCATCTAAATATAAGTCAGAGAAGAAACAAAATTTATCCAAAAACTGTCTGGTTCTAACAAAAAGTGTTGGTTTCTAAAGGTTTAATCTTTTTCATGATCTACAGAGGAGACCCAGACAAGTGTGACATATGGGGGAACACGCCACTCCATTTGGCAGCTGCTAACGGTCACCTCAACTGCCTTTTCTTCCTGGTGTCTTTTGGTGCCAACATTTGGTGCCTGGACAATGACTACCATACCCCGCTGGACATGGCTGCCACAAAAAACCACATGGATTGCGTCCGCTACCTGGATTCCATTGCTGCCAAGCAGACAAGTCTCAATCCCAAGCTGGTCAGCAAGCTAAAGGACAGGGCGTTCCGTGAGGGCGAGCGGCGGAACAAAGAGTGCGTGAAGATGCAGAAAAAGCACCGCAAACGGATGGAGCGAAAGTTCCATAAAGAAGCCACTGAAGAGTCTGTGTCGGATGTCATGAGCTTTTCCAGCTTTACTGGCAGCTCTGTTAGCCACAAGCTGCACAACTTCAACACTGTCAGTGTGCCATACTCACAGGTAAGGGCTTTACTTTTTTAAGGTTTTATGTACTAGCTGACAGTCGTTGTTGGCTTGTGATTTTGACTTGTTGGTGCTTCTGTTTATTTAGGCAACTCTTCACGCCACAAACCGTGGAAAGACAAAGATCCAGAAGAAGCTGGAGAAGAGAAAACAAGGAGATGGCACTTTTAAAATCTATGAAGATGGGAGGAAGAGTGTGCGCTCTCTTTCTGGACTGCAGCTGGGTAACGATGTCATGTTTGTCAAACAAGGGACCTATGTCAACCCAAAAGAGCGTGGCCGCCGTAACGTTCGTGACATGTTCCCCAGAGACAACGACGATGCCATTTCACGTGCCATGAGCGAACCGGACCTTCACGGGCCAGACGTGGACTACTCCGAGATCAGCACCGACTCGGGTCACGATTCCCTGTTCAATCGACCCGGTCTTGGCACCATGGTTTTTAGGAGGAACTATGTAACTGGGGGAATGTTTGACCTCAAAGCTCGAGACAACATCAGCTTGGCCACCTCAGGCAATAATGTGCATCTACGCAGTCGGCTGCACCATTACCCAAGTCTAGATGAAGACAGTATTGGGAGTGCCCACAGCCTGCAGGAGAGGAACATGGAGGAGCTGCCTTGGGAAGAAGTAGAAATAGGATTGGATGATGATGATGAGCATGACACAAGTCCGCTGGAGGTCTTCCTTGCCACACAGGGCATGAGCGAGTTTTACTCCATCTTCAAAAGAGAGAAAATTGACCTTGAAGCTCTATTGCTGTGCTCTGATCATGACCTCAAGAGTATCCACATCCCCTTAGGACCAAGGAAGAAGATCTTAGATGCCTGTAATCGACGACTTGAGACCATGGAGGAACCTGATGGCATGGAGGACACAGAATTGTGAGTACCGAGGTGCTTTAAGCATTAACAATCAACTTTAGTGTTTTGTCTCTTTTGCAAAGTGACTGATTTTTTTATTTTATTTTTGTTGTTATTTAGGCCCATCAARGTCTTATTTACTGTCAGTTGTTTCTGAAAACATTACCTGGATGTGACTTTAGTCTTGATTGCACAGAGAGCCTGTTGCTTTCTGCCAAACTGCTGTGACATTGACAAAAGATGAGTTTTTGTAAAACTAGTGATTGAGATTTTCCACGAACTGCTGGTAAAGGCATGAAAAACAGAAAACTTTTTCACTTTGTTCTTTTGTTTTATCGAAGCGTTTGATGAAAACAGCATGCAATATAAACACATACCATGTTTTCCTGTCCCAGTTGTGTGTTGCAATGTGCTGTTAAAATTCTAGGCAGGTGTWGGTCAGGTTTGGGGAAAGTTATTGTGAAGAACACGTGACTATCTTGTTTTCTTCCGGCTGCTCTCCTCTGCAGGGGTAGCCACAGTGAACAAACTCACATAATAGATTTGGCAATTGTTTTTATGCTGAATGCTCTTACTTGTGCAACTTATCCGTTTAAGGGATCAAATGAATATGATAACTTTTATCATCTTAATAAGTTAAATCATTTTACATTATAAGCAAGATTTACTTTTACTGGCAAACTTTAAAACTGACTAAACCTTTACACCAGGGCTATTCAACTAAATTGCTCAGAGGGCAACATGAGGGCAGGGGAAGCACAGCATTATGTAAAATAACAGTTATTTTTATATTTTACCTTATAAATTTCCATACTTTGTTGAATTGAATCATATATTATAATATAATACCAGAATATATTCATAAAATATATTATATAAAATTCTAG